AGACAGAGCCTCAAGCTGTCCCCCTGGGTAGAGTGCCGTGGCATCACAGCTCACAGCAACCCCAACTCCTGGGCTCAAGCGAGTCTCCTGCTTCCACCTCCCAAGTAGCTGGGACTACAGGTGCCCCCCACAACGCCTGGCTGTTTTTGCTTGCAGCTGTCATTGTTGTTTGGCAGACCCGGGCTGGATTTGAACCCACCAGCTCAGGTGTATGTGGCTGGTGCCTTAGCCGCTTGAGCCATGGGCGCCGAGCCCTGGATTCAGTTTTGTTGGATGTAGTTCAACTTGATTTGATTCCCATTTATTGAGTCTCCATGAAGCACTGGAAGGAGGAAAGCCACCTTGCTATTCAGAAAACCCTGCTATTTTTTTTTTTCCTTTTCCAGAGAACCAGGAAAGTAGCTGAGGGGGTCAGCGAGGTTGATGGCGCCTCGTGAATGATTTTGCTTGGGCCTTGGCAGCAGTAGTTGTGTGTGTGTTCAGGTTCTTTGCCTCTGGCTGACTCATTCCTAACGTAACCAGTGCCAAGCTGGGCTCTGGGAAGGACATTCTGTGTGGGGCAGGATTCCCTCCTTTGGCCAAGGTAGGTGTGGACTGCCCCTCCCACGCTGTTCCCTCTCCCTGGAACATTCCTCCTCTCCCTCCCCCAGGGCTTCCAGTTCAGAAAGGCCCTCGTGAACACTTTAAATAAAGGAGACTCTTCCCATCCCTTTATAAGCCCTCTCCTAGCTTATTTATTTTGCTTTTTATTATCTGATATTATATATGTGTGTGTGTGTTTTTCTGAGAGGTGCATTAATCTGAAATTGCAGTGAATTGGAAAAAAAAGTCACACTAAGCCAGGGGGTAAGGGCCTAGCAGGGCCTCCCCATGAAACACCAGGGAGTTGAGGAGGGTTACAGATGGTGGCCTAGTTAGTGTGGCCACAGCTCCTGGGCGTGGCAGGAACCAGCCACTTCTGTATGTGGGGATCCTGGTTCAACTTTGAAAGGTCTGGAGCTCTTCAGTGAAGCATCACATGGCCACAGGTTCATCTTTTAGGTTGCCTGATTATTTCTGTATCACGGCACCCCGAGGCCAGCACTGGGCTCCAGGGAGCTGCTGCTTTCTTTCCTGCCTTGTAGGCCGGACAACTGACCCCTAGTATTCTGACTATTGATGCCTCTGTGGCCCATGGCCAAGAGGTGTGAATTTTCCAGAACTTGGGGGGCTTTGGTCTTGGTCTTATTGTTCCTCTATATGATGCCTGGACAGGTGAGATGGCCCTGGACTGCCTGCTGAAAGCTGGTCCTTTGGTGTCTGATCCCTCTGGCTTCATCTGTCTATAGCTATAATCCATCATCTATCTATCCTGGTTTCCTTATTTTCCTGAGGACACGACTCTATCTTTCTCCCCACTGTATCTCTAGTATTTAGTACATGTTATTAGATACTCTAAGAATATTTGTTGGATGGATGGATGGATGGATGGACAAGGACCCTTTTTTCACTAATGTCTCACTTATCAGGGGGAAGTAGATCATCAGCCCTCCTCAGCCCCTCATCTCATGCCCCTCTCCAAACTCCCTATGCCCTCTGGCTTTTGCTCACAGCCTTGAGTCCACGTCTGCCAACCAAGATCTCTGTAATTCTTCAGGTCCAGTTTGACACAGGCCCTTTGCATTACATCAAATCCTGCAAATCTGAATGAATCTACAGGTAAACACACACGCGTACACCCTTGAGAGAAGGCTATGTGTCTTGTTCACTATTGAATCACCAGAATCCAGCATGGTTCTAGGGTGCCACTCTAGAAATATTTTTTGAATAAATAACTGCAGACTTAATTCTGCTTTGTGTTATCATTGGTTATTTGTGTCTGTCTCCTCTGTAGGTAAAAACTTGGCTCATAGTCTCATGCTAGCTCAATGCTTCACTAGAAATGACTGTGACACGGGCAGATACGTTCTGGGAACATCCACTCTCTACTTGCCAGGCACTAGACTTTACCGACACAAGTTCATTTGCTTGTCATGATTGCTCAATGGGATGGTTTTACAAGTGCCTTTTCACAGAGAAGGAAACTAGAGTTCAGAGGGATTGGACAACCAGCCCAAGGTTCTTTGGCTTATAAATAGAAGAGAGAGAATTTGAGGCAGGTATTTCTGACACCAAACTCCCATTTTCTCCCCTGCTTAGGCTCCTTTCCTCTGTCGGGATAGGAAGGGCTCTTATAAAGTTACTTCAACTGAATGGACTTGAAAGCGGTCAGGACGTCTTCAAACAGCCCCGTGACTGCTCTGTACTGACGTCCCTCACTTTTCAAGACACTGTACTGCTGCCAGCTGCACTGCCTCGGCTTTGCACTCCCTGGGATTCTCCTGCCATCAGATGTCAGCCCCTCTTTCCAAGTTCCCTACAGCCCGCAGGACAACCACCCCACAGGGAGCCACTGCCCACGTGCAGCAGCAAAGCCCTCACCTGTCACGTAATTCTTCAAATCCAGCTCATTGCTGAGAGGGTTGTTGCTCTTGAACATGTACAGGTTAAAGGGGGCCGGCTCTTTGCCCACGTTTTTCCACATGGTATAGTCTGGAGAGGTCCACCGTCCCGCCAGCACATCATAATCACGCTGCGTGAAGTGGACCAGCTTGGTCAGAGGGTCATAGAGTCCCCCGTGGAACCCGATGACCATCTGGAAGTCAGGGTTGGAATCAAAGTAAATCTCCCCATAGGCCGTGTACTGCAGCTGTTTGATCATGAGCCCATTGATGCTGAACACAGCCAGAGGGGTCCCTGTGTTATCCGAGGCAACATAGTACTCCTCCCCGCTGCTGCTCTCCATGGCAAAGAGGTGGCCCTGAAGGTCGTAGTACAGTGAGGTGATCTCCGAATTGGAGTGATTGTAGACGTGGGTGACGCGGGTGGGGTTGTGCAGGTCGGAGTAGAAGTACTGCAGGTGGTGGCCCAGGTTGGTCTTGTAGGAGGCCCGCCGTCCCACGCCATCGTAGCGGTACTGCACGCTCCACCCACTGGCCTTGTTGTAGGCTCTGGTCAGGAGACCCTTGGAGTTGTACTCGAAGATGTCGGACCCCCGCTGGCACAGATAGCCGTCATCGTCAATTTTGTACTGCACATCGCCGAGTCTGGTTATCCGATCCCGGAGGTCGTAGCGCAAAGGCATGAGGCGCACGTTGTTGCCTGGGTTCAGCAGGTGGAGGTTCCCGTTGAGGTCGTAGCTGTAGCGCCAGG